TCTTGACACCAAGACATGTCTTACTGCTCTCTGTGTAGGCCTCAACCATATGATGCTTCCATTGGGTATTGACTTCATCTGTATTAGGGGTGGTTTCTTCCTGGTCTTGGAGAGCTTGAAATCGGTTCTTTAGTTCTAGTCGGAAGGCAGATCTCACATTGCCATCACTGAGCTTGTGAACATTAAATCGTGTCTTTGTCGCCTCCCTGGTGAATGTTTTCTTCAGCTTGAGTTTTATTCTTGCCGTCACTAAATGATGATCGCTGCCGACATCTGCTCCTCTTCTGACTTTCACATCCTGTAGGGAACGTCTCCACAGTCTTCCTATCATAAGGTGGTTAATCTGGTTCTTGTCCCGGCCATTTGGAGAATTCCAGGCCAGTTTGTGGATTGTACGGTGTGGGAAGAGGGTTCCGCCTATCACGAAGTTGTTCAATGCGCAGAAGTCAACTAGTCTTTCCCCGTTCTCATTTCTTGTACCCGCACCATGTTGTCCCATCGTTCTCTCATAGTTGGTGTTGTCCTCTTCTACTTTAGCTTTCAGATCGCCCATTACAACGATAAGGTCGTGACGAGGTATATCTGTCAATTCCTTCTGTAGCTGTTCATAAAAATAGTCCTTGCTTTCATCTTCACTGTCGTTAGTAGGGGGCGTAACATTGGATGATGCTTGTGTTGGTGTTCTTTCCTTTCAGTCTCAGTTTCATCATTCTGCCGTTGATGGGTTTCCACTCCACGAGGTATTTTTCAAGTTCCCTTTTTAGGATGATAGCTACACCTTCCCTATGTTGGTTGTCTTCTCTGCCGGAATAGATCAGTGTTTCTCCAGTTGCTGTTCTCAGCCTGCCGGATCCTGTCCAGAGACTTTCACTTATGCCCAGAACGTGCAATCCATATCTCCTCATCTCTGCCGTTACTTGTGCCAACTTACCAGTTTCATACATTGTCCTTACATTCCACAGTCCTATGATAACTTTTGTCTTTGCGGTGCTCAGGTCCTCCATCTTCCTGCAAACAGCTTCCTTGCGGCTTTCACTGCCAGCATTCATACGAGTCCCAAGGGACTCTGAAGGTCCATCACACACAGAAATATGGTTTCTCTTTGTTGCTGTTTCCGTAACATATGTTTTTTTACCAGTCTGGGTTGTTAGCCCTGAGCTGAACCTCCGAAACCTGGAGGGCCAGTGGATCACGCTTCGTCTGACCTCTACCCGTCGACCTGTCTGGCATGGGTGGCCCTACCAGGAGCATAAGCTCCAGCCAGCGTAGCTCTTGGGGTCACTGAGGCACACAAGCTCTCTAACCACAACAAGGTAATAATCCACTAGAGAGTACAAGAGAGTAACAAACACACAAAAGAAAGAGAGATCAGGATGAAAGATATTTGATAGGAAAGAAGGAGCAAACCACACCAGAGCACCGCCAACCACCCACGTAAGATACACAAACACACAAACATTTCGAGAGATGTAAGATAAACAAACACACAAACATTCCGAGAAATGTAAGATAAACAAACACACAAACATTCAGAGAGATGTAAGATAAACAAACACACAAACATTCAGAGAGATGTAAGATAAACAAACACACAAACAAACAAACATTCCAAGAAATGTAAGATAAACAAACACACAAACATTCAGAGAGATGTAAGATAAAAAACACACAAACATTCCGAGAGATGTAAGATAAACAAACACACAAACATTCCGAGAAATGTAAGATAAACAAACACACAAACGTTCCAAGAAATGTAAGATAAACAAACACACAAACGTTCCAAGAAATGTAAGATAAACAAACACACAAACATTCAGACAGATGTAAGATAGTTTAGTTTAGTTTTAGTAGAGATTTTACAGCGCTCGCAACTGTATAAGGTCATATGAGCGCCAGAAGATTAGAGGTGTTACAAGAGATTAACAAAACTTAAAAAAGAAGAAGGGGAGTTTTAGTTTTAGTAGAGGTTTTACGGCACTCGCAACTGCTATAAGGTCATATGAGCGCCAGAAGATTAGAGGTGTTACAAGAGAGTAACAAACATAAAAAGAAGGAGGGGAGATAAGGACAATAGATGTTTGATAGGAAAGAAGAAGCAAACCACACCAGAGCACCCGCCAACCACCCATGATGTTACAAGAGAGAAACAAACACAAAAAAGGAGAGATCAGGACGAAAGATATTTGATAGGAAAGAAGGAGCAGAGCACCCGCCAACCACCCACGTAAGATAAACGAACACAAACATTCCGAGAGATGTAAGATAAACAAAAATACAAACATTCCAAGAGATGTAAGATAAACAAACACACAGACATTCAGAGAGATGTAAGATAAACAAACACACAAACAAACATTCCGAGAAATGTAAGATAAACAAACACACAGACATTCAGAGAGATGTAAGATAAACAAACACACAAACAAACATTCCGAGAAATGTAAGATAAACAAACACACAGACATTCAGAGAGATGTAAGATAAACAAACACACAAACAAACAAACATTCCGAGAAATGTAAGGTAAACAAACGCACAGACATTCAGAGAGATGTAAGATAAACAAACACACAAACAAACAAACATTCCGAGAAACGTAAGACAAACAAAGCGTCAAAGTTTTCACCACGTGTTGTATTACCTCATCGTGAGACAGCGAACCGATGGCCGCCACAAGAACTTACTCTAGCTATGTATATATATATATATATATATACCGGTACATGTCACCTATGTATATATACAGATGTATTATATATACCGGTACCTGTAACCTACTGATACAAAATGTACTGATCAAGTAATGGGAAAATGCTTAATGACTAACCCCAGCACCGTCACTACACATAGAATGTACACATGGCAGCACTCTGATTAGGACAAGTATTAGTCATGGCTATAGTAGGCCAACAAAACCAAAATACCAACAGACACAAAAAAACTTGAATGAAGGTTCAGGAAAATTTGTCAACACCAAGCTACAGTACGTACGTACTTCACACAACTGCCACAGTGTAGTACGTACATCACACAACTGCCACAGTGTAGTACGTACATCACACAACTGCCACAGTACGTACATCACACAACTGCCACAGTGTAGTACGTACATCACACAACTGCCACAGTACGTACATCACACAACTGCCACAGTACGTACATCACATACAGCACTGCTGTCTTCTGCTACAGTAAATACGTGGTGTGTGTGTTAACATCATAACTGTCACAAGTGTGTATTATGTGTTAACCCTGTCAGTACATCGTGTTTTACTTTCGTATCCATACGACGTGGGGAACTCTGTTGCACCACTTAACCCTATCCATAGGTCGTGTTTTACTATCGTATCCATACCAAGTGGGGAACTCAGTGCCACCACTTAACCCTATCCGAACGTTGTGTTTTACTATCGTATCCATGCGACGTGGGGAACTCTGTGCCACCACTTTCCAGAGAGGAAATTTACTCGTTAATCCGATCCGTACACTTTGCACAGCAGTCTGTCAAAATGATTTTGGGGGAAATACTTAAAGTTTCAAAGAGATCTTCACACTAAAAGTATTCTAAAATGTGAAGAATACTACCACAGCGGTACAAAATGACCCCAGGGTTAAGAACATAACTCTCACAAGTGTATATGTGTAAAGTGTGTACGAGTTACTTTCACAAGCGTCAATTTACATTTTTTCTGCCTTTAATCAACGTCTACTGCTGGATTGCCCATCAAAGGAAATTGTTCCTTCCTCCCAGCCTGACTCGGCCCAGTGACAGAAACATGCAATGTTTGACCCAGGATAAGATATAAATGTGCACAACCTGTACTCTTTCATTTTATGGGAACTTTCTGGAACAAATGAGTGTTTTCCGCGATGTGATATGGATCAATGGCCTCAAGCACTGAATGACCTAACTACCAGTGGACTGAGTCGAACAACACCAAACTCCACCACGCTGCCTCCCAAACGTGTCACCACACGGTGGGATCAGGCTCTCCACACGGTGGGATCAGGCTCTCCACACGGTGGGATCAGGCTCTCTACACGGTGGGATCAGGCTCTCCACACGGTGGGATCAGGCTCTCCACACGGTGGGATCAGGGCAAGTTTGAGACTTGTCAACACACAGTGGGATCCCCACAAGTTTGTCACCACACGGTGGGATCAGGTGTCACCACACGGTGGGATCAGGTGTCACCACACGGTAGGATCACCACAAGTTTGTCACCACACGGTGGGATCAGGCGCTCCACACGGTGGGATCAGGTGTCACCACACGGTGGGATCACCACAAGTTTGTCACCACACTGTGGGATCACCACAAGTTTGTCACCACACTGTGGGATCAGGTGTCACCACTCGGTGGGATCACCACAAGTTTCTCCCCACACAGTGGGACCATCACAAATTTGTCACCACACAGTGGGATCAGGTGTCACCACACGGTGGGATCACCACAAGTTTGTCACCACATGGTGGGATCACCACAAGTTTGTCACCACACACTGGGATCAGGTGTCACCACACGGTGGGGATCGCCACAAGTTTGTCACCACACAGTGGGGATCCCCACAAGTTTGTCACCACACGGTGGGGATCGCCACAAGTTTGTCACCACACGGTGGGATCAAGTGTCACCACACGGTGGGGATCGCCACAAGTTTGTCACCACACGGTGGGATCAGGTGTCACCACACGGTGGGGATCGCCACAAGTTTGTCACCACACGGTGGGATCACCACAAGTTTGTCACCACACGGTGGGATCAGGCGCTCCACAAGTTTGGGGCATGTGGATTTACTTCTATACTTTTTGGGGGGGGGGGGGGGGGTTACCGGGCTCGCAACTCATTAGGTCATATGAGCATGCAGGACACGCCTAACATTTTCAGTTGGTAGGAAATTTTGAATCATGCCCGGAGGCCGAAGCCTATTTTGGACTACCAATTGGGATCTTAAACATGCGCAGTCTCTCTACTCTAAAATTTGGTTTGTTCATTTGTCTTACTTTTGATTTAAAAAACTACCAATCTGTTTGGAATATAAGTGGAGACACTTGCAGCTGACAGGGGCGACTGGTGGTAGCAGAGTAATCAGAGGAAAATTGTCCGAAGTTTCTGAGTAAAATCTACACAGAATCTGTTTCTAAAGGTCATAAACAGTGCTGAGCCAAAAACAGAAAAACTTGCTAAAAATTGCCCATTTGCCAGGAAAATGCGAGTATTTCGACTTCCTGAGGTAGACGAGCACCTGACCTCACCGCGATGTCACAGAGGTCAAGGTCGAGGGGGGAAAGGGGAACAAGCAAAGCTATTGGTCAAAACTAAACCAGAGAAACAAGGGGCGCACTGCTGTCGGCAGGGTTATTGGCATACATGTACAGATAGCAGCAAGTCATTATGTCGGCTAACTGAAGAAGAACATGTTTATACAACATACATAGCACAGTTTATGCACAATCTTGTTTATTTAACAAAGCAGAGTTTATGCACAAACATGTTTATTTAACAAAGCAGAGTTTATGCACAAATGAAAACTTGTTAAAAAAGGCTGCATGGTGTCTCTCTCTCTCTCACACGGTATAAAATTATATATGTTTTATATATATGTATATATATTTTTAAGAATAAGTGACGGAACATCCCAGAACCGGCACATTTCGCGACCTCGGTACTTTTTCGTCGCATCTCCATTTTTTAAAACAGTGAAAATTTGACTTCTTCTCAAGCTCACTTTTTGTTATGAACTGTTTTCACTATTAGTAAAAATGGAGAAAGGAGAAGAAAGCATGGAGGTGGCCAGCTGTGTGCAGTGGGCCAGGGAGAAACATATCTAGGTCATGAGTGAATTTCTTCACCGTGAGCCGCGCCGTGATGAGTTGTACTGTGGGGAGGAAGGATTCACCGACACTCACTGTACTGTGGGGAGGAAGGATTCACCGACACTCACTGTACTGTGGGGAGGAAGGATTCACCGACACTCACTGTACTGTGGGGAGGAATGATTCACCAACACCCATTGTACTGTGGGAAGGAACGATTCACAGACACAGACACTCGTCCAAACCACCACCCTCGACCCATTGTGACAACGCTGAACTCACTGGATGGAAACAAGAAGGAAAAAATGACAGTCGTTTACTGGCAGTCAAACAAAACAAAACTGACATGATGTTTGGCCAGTCCCTCAAACCAAAACAGTCAGAAATCAAACCAAACAGTCAGAATTCAAATCAATAAATGGCATGCCAGAAGAGGCAAAACAAATCAAACATTTAAAATTTCAACATCCCCCAATCCCCACCATAACTAAGATACAACATTCCAAACTGTCAACAACAAAACAAAAAAAACAATGCTCTACAAACACAACTCCACTGTTTTGTTTGAGTCAGGTTTTACGGCGCCCATGACAGCATAAAGTCATGGGAACTGCCCGGTCAAGAACATGACACACAATACGTACAACAGAGCAGTAGCTCCTCTCATCAACGACATTCACAGTGGAACTAAGTAGCAAACTGACGCGGCACAGACGTGGCACAGATGCGACGCAGACATGACACAGATGCGCCACGGAGCACACACTCTGGTCACTTGTGCATCCTGTTGGCCCCGACCACAAGAGAGTAACACACACAAAGAAGGAGAAGGAGAGATAAGGACGATAGATGTTTGATGGGAAAGAAGGAGCAAACCACACCAGAGCACCCGCCAACCACCCACAAACGACAATTCAGAAAAATGGGGACAAGGCGGGCGAGGTACAAAACCAAATCCCAACAGTTGCCGTGGCAACCCAGGACGACAGGAACCATGATGTGCCGAGCCAAACGACTGTCAACTGTCTGTTGAACGACTGTCAACCAACTTCCAAATAACCGTTGAACGACTGTCAACCGACCACATTAAGACCACGTTGACTAAAGAGCCTCCCCCCCAAAACTATCACAAAAGTCTTGAGCAAAATAAATTGAAGAACAAAACAAATATATATAGCAAAGCAAATCATTTGAAATTTTACTTCTTTTTTTTTTAGATAGACAGATATTCAACAACAACAACAGCAACAATAAGTCACACAGGTTCATCCACACACAAGACTCGTGGCACGTTCTTGCATTCAGTTGTCTGTGTAGTTGTAGTTTAAATAACAGTTTGTTATAGTTTTAGTAAGAGTTTTACGGCACTTGCAACACAATAAGGTCACATAAATGCTGAAGAACAGATTACGTGTTACAAGAGAGTAACAAACACATGACACACCACCAGAACGACAAAATGTCACCACTTGATGACACACCAGGGCAAAATGTCACCATTTGACACTTTCTGTTTGTCTCTTTCTCTCCCTCAACACTGTCTCTTGCTGCCTCAACTCTCTCTCTCTCTCTCTCTCTCTCTCTCTCTCTCTCTCTCTCTCTCTCTCTCTCTCTCTCTCTCTCTCTCTCCTCTCTCTTTCTCTCATTCCTCTCTCTTTCTCTCACTCAACAAACTTTCTCTCACTCAACAAACTTTCTCTCACTCAACAAACTCTCTCTTTATCTCCCTTAACTCTTTCTCTCATAACAAGCTGACATGAAACTATAAGTATAAGAAGCAAAAAACAAGAAAACATAACATGTTTGTTTTTTCCTTACATTTATATCACACACACACACACACACACACACACACACACATAACACACACACACACACACACTTCAGCCAGCGTACGTCTCATCGAAAGCGCCACGGAAGCATTCGTCGATGTTCTTCCTCTCCTCTCCCCACATCTCAAGCAGCGTACATCTCATCGATGGCGGCACAGAAGCGTTCATCGATGTTCTCCACATCTCAGGCAGTGTAATCTCATCGATGGCGGTGCAGAAGCTTTCATCAATGTTCCCCCCACATCTCAGGCAGCGTACATCTCATTGATGGCAGCACGGAAGTGTTCATCGATGTTCTTCCTCTTGAGCTTGAAGGCGTCGGTGACCAGGCCGGTGTCAGGCATCCAGGGGTCAGGGAACAGACGCACCGCCAGGGGGAGCTCCGAGCGCTGTAGTTTACCTGGGGGGACACACAGGTGAGGAGACAGGTGAGAAAAGTTTACCTGAGGGGACACACAGGTGAGAAAAGTTTACCTGAGGGGACACACAGGTGAGAAAAGTTTACATGAGGGGACACACAGGTGAGAAAAGTTTACCTGAGGGGACAAACAGGTGAGAAAAGTTTACCTGAGGCAGGGCTGCCTACCTCAAAGTTTCCATTTCAGGTAGATTCAGGGCCAGTTTCAGGTAGTTTGGCTCAAAATCAGGTAGTACAAAGACAAAGAAGGAAAGAAAAGATGATCGTTGCCCAATCGAACGCGCTTACATTCCGTGATATTGGGTAATTATATTTTGAAAACTTGTTTGTGCATGCACATGTGTGTGTGTGTGTGTGTATGTGTCTGTCTGTGTGCATGTGCGCATGCTCTCGCATGTGTTGATATATGTGGGGACGGGAAGGGAGTGTTTGGGAGAGCACAAGTTAAGATGAACAGTGTGTATAAAATGAGGCAAAGTTTGTTTTTTTAAGTATTAAAGCATTTACGGACTATCGTTCAAGGCACCTATCATTCAGTATTGAATCTGGGAGTGCAGGGTGATTGCCAAACTGACTTCAAAACCCCTAGACCATACCGGTAGAAACTATATTAAAACACATTTCCCGACACTAGCATAGGATACTGGTAAGTCCTTTGTGACTTAGGTATGAAAGACAATTAGTTTTAACTAGTTTTACCCTAAAACTACAAAATGAATCCTGATCTGGGCCTGAGGAGAGGCAAGAAGAACATCAACTGCCAAAACCATGTTTGGTTTCAGCAATCACGGATTTTTAAAAGCATGCAAATGCAAGACAAAACTTATTTATAAAACCTTTATAGTTAGGCTCACGGCAGAGCAACAAGTGAAAATAAAAGAGAGCGGGTACTGAGAGGCAGAGCTGGAAGGATTGTGAGAGCGTGGGATGTAGTGATGCTGAAAATCTGGCAATCAGTGAATCACTGCATCACGGACCAAGTACTGATTTTTTTTTTTCAAAATGCTAAATCACAGTACCAGTTTTTAATCAATAGGAAGCCATCATGATGCATAAGCATCCAAATAGAGCTTTTCCGAGGGTTGAAAATGGCATTTCCTCATTGCCACTATTCAATTTGTCATCCTTGACAAATCCGGGAACACCAACCTTGAAGATACAACCATCAATTGTCGAAAGTCAAAACCACTTCCACTTATCGTTTTTATTTTAGCATCAGTTTCTTGCACCACAGCCTTATCCTGCTGCCGTAGACTTTATTGCGTCAAACACTTCCCCTCAATTCTGAAGCCCTGCAACGTTCCTTCTTTGAATGAACTTTGATTACCCCATGCCGTACTCACGCGAAGCGAACTCGCACAGGTTCACTGACCGGCCTCGATGACGGGCCCAACAATCTAGAAATCAGAGGATGCTTGTTTTCTTTTTCTTTCTATTTTTTGTGATTATAGTGACATCAGTGTGAATATCGATTTAATTCGTATGGCGAAACTGTGTTTTTCAAGCACAAGCTGCAGGTTACAAATTTTTATTAACAGTAAATCTAACAATAACAAACTATCATTGGACAATTCTGAGCAGTAATGAAAGCGAAAGTAGAATTTGATTTTCCTGATGGAGTCTCAGTATTTTACACCTACACTTCCGCCTGCCGCCATAGCCGCTGATTCGAGTGAAACGTACTCTTGGATTGAGGAAAGCCGAACGTAATACCACAAACGCGACCGGTAAAATATGAACTCAGTAGTCTTTTCAGATTTGGTTGCGAGGACTTTGTGCATTTTCTCTGCTCAAGGCGATTTTTTTTTTCTTCAGATTCCTGCAGTCCCCCAGCGTAGAATCCTAATTTGGTACTGACCAATTCTCTAGACCAAGACAGATTTTAGAATGTTCTGCTTTGATATCGATTTTCTTTCTACATTCACAATTCTGTTTTCTAGATAAATGAATTAAATGCACAGATCGTCCAACAGCAGCAAAAACCCGAAGATAGACAAAAAGAAAGAATGAATGAAAGGAAGGAGGAAGATTATCCGAGTGCACGTGAAAAACTATTGCCCACCGAACGGCACAGATAGACAATGGTCGAGTACAAGAAATGCGCACTCTGGCAGTTTCTAATACAACGTTTATTGACTTATTGCAGAGAGTTGCAGTAAATATCTGACAATTAACGGAGGCAAGTGCTGATATCTCTCTCTCTCTCTCACGCATGGAGTTGATATGATGAAGCTGCAAGTAGCCTTCGGAACTTTCAGAATGTACGGATTTCCGCAAAAACAAAGAAGAATGGAAGCACTGCAGAATGTTTTTTTCCCCCTTCTTTCGGCACCCATCGCAAATCCGGTAGTTTTGACACCTTATCAGTATGGCGGTAGAACAGGCCCAAAATCGGAATCTACCAGAAAAATCGGTAGATTTAGGCAGCCCTGCTGAGGGGACACACAGGTGAGAAAAGTTTACCTGAGGGGACACACAGGTGAGAAAAGTTTACCTGAGGGGACACACAGGTGGGGAGACAGGTGAGAAAAGTTTACCTGAGGGGACAAACAGGTGAGAAAAGTTTACCTGAGAGGACACACAGGTGGGGAGACAGGTGAGAAAAGCTTACCTGAGGGGACACACAGGTGGGGAGACAGGTGAGAAAAGTTTACCTGAGGGGACAAAGAGGTGAGAAAAGTTTACCTGAGAGGACACACAGGTGGGGAGACAGGTGAGAAAAGCTTACCTGAGGGGACACACAGGTGGGGAGACAGGTGAGAAAAGTTTACCTGAGGGGACACACAGATGAGAAAAGTTTACCTGAGGGGACACACAGGTGAGAAAAGTTTACCTGGGGGGACACACAGGTGGGGAGACAGGTGAGAAAAGTTTACCTGAGGGGACACACAGGTGGGAAAAATTTACCTTTGACCCTGTGAGTACAGATCTAAGGACAGTTGACCCACCTTTGACCCCCAGGTACAGACAGTTGACCCACCTTTGACCCCATGAGTACAGATTTAAGGACAGTTGACCCACCTTTGACCACCAGGTACAGATCTAAGAACAGTTGACCCACCTTTGACCACCAGGTACAGATCTAAGGACAGTTGACCCACCTTTGACCCTCAGGCACAGACAGTTGACCCACCTTTGACCACCAGGTACAGACAGTTGACCCACCTTTGAGCCCGTGGGCACAGATCTGCTTGAGCACAGCGGCCAGCACTCTACGGTCCCCACAAAGCGTCTTGAAGTCCCCACTGTCGCCGGCGCCGACCTCCCTGGCCACGGCCTCTAGACGCGCCTGGTTGGGCACGATCAGCGCCACCACGTTGTTGCGGTCGCTGCGGGCCACCACACAGATCTGCTCCACCAGGGGGCACATCTTGAGGACAGTCTCGACCTGTGCCAGAGACACGTACTCCCCATGCTGCAGCTTGACCAGGTCTTTCTTACGGTCTGTCAGAGACACACAGAGACACACACGTGTCACATTATTTCACCAGGTCCTTCTTACAGTCTGTCAGAGACACACAGAGACACACACATGTCACGTTATTTCACCAGGTCCTTCTTACGGTCTGTCAGAGACACACAGAGACACACACGTGTCACGTTATTTCACCAGGTCCTTTTTATGGTCTGTCAGAGACACACAGAGACACATAAGTGTCACGTTATTTCACCAGGTCCTTCTTACGGTCTGTCAGAGACACACAGGTGTCACGTTATTTCACCAGGTCCTTCTTACAGTCTGTCACACACAGAGACACACACGTGTCACGTTATTTCACCAGGTCCTTATTACGGTCTGTCAGAGACACACAGTCTGTCATATACATAAAACAGATGTGTGTACGTTACGTGTCCCGTCCTTTCACCAGCTCCATGTTACGGTCTGTCGAACATACATACACAAAACAGAAACATATGAAGATGTTGTTTTATCACTTATTTTCTTGTTTATTTTACACTTGAATAGCCAGAAATGGCATATTTAAGGTGTCCTGAAACCAAAAAAATCTCAAACGTAAGGGTCCGAAATATGCCAGTAAAGGGCTACATCTAGACTGTGTGTCTATTAATGATAAATGTCAGTAGAGGGCTACATCTAGATTGTGTCTATTAATGATAAATGTCAGTAGAGGGCTACATCTAGACTGTGTGTCTATTAATGATAAATGTCAGTAGAGGGCTACATCTAGACTGTGTGTCTATTAATGATAAATGTCAGTAGAGGGCTACATCTAGACTGTGTGTCTATTAATGATATATGTCAGTAGAGGGCTACATCTAGACTGTGTGTCTATTAATGATATATGTCAGTAGAGGGCTACATCTAGACTGTGAGTCCATTTATGATAAATTATGTCAGTAGAGGGCTACATCTAAACTGTGTGTCCATTAATGATATATGTCAGTAGAGGGCTACATCTAGACTGTGTGTCTATTAACGATAAATGTCCGTAGAGGGCTACATCTAGACTGTGAGTCCATTTATGATAAATGTCAGTAGAGGGCTACATCTAGACTGTGTGTCCATTAATGATATATGTCAGTAGAGGGTTACATCTAGACTGTGTCCATTAATGATATATGTCAGTAGAGGGCTACATCTAGACTGTGTGTCCATTAATGATATATGTCAGTAGAGGGCTACATCTAGACTGTGTGTCTATTAATGATAAATGTCAGTAGAGGGCTACATCTAGACTGTGAGTCCATTTATGATAAATGTCAGTAGAGGGCTACATCTAGACTGTGTGTCCATTAATGATATATGTCAGTAGAGGGTTACATCTAGACTGTGTCCATTAATGATATATGTCAGTAGAGGGCTACATCTAGACTGTGTGTCTATTAACGATAAATGTCCGTAGAGGGCTACATCTAGACTGTGAGTCCATTTATGATAAATGTCAGTAGAGGGCTACATCTAGACTGTGTGTCCATTAATGATATATTATGTCAGTAGAGGGCTACATCTAGACTGTGTGTCCATTAATGATATGTCAGTAGAGGGCTACATCTAGACTGTGTGTCTATTAATGATATATGTCAGTAGAGGGCTACATCTAGACTGTGAGTCCATTTATGATAAATGTCAGTAGAGGGCTACATCTAGACTGTGTGTCCATTAATGATAAATGTCAGTAGAGGGCTACATCTAGACTGTGTGTCTATTAATGATAAATGTCAGTAGAGGGCTACATCTAGACTGTGTGTCTATTAATGATAAATGTCAGTAGAGGGCTACATCTAGACTGTGAGTCCATTTATGATAAATTATGTCAGTAGAGGGCTACATCTAAACTGTGTGTCCATTAATGATATATGTCAGTAGAGGGCTACATCTAGACTGTGTGTCCATTAATGATATATTATGTCAGTAGAGGGCTACATCTAGACTGTGTGTCCATTAAGACACTACTGACACTGACAACATTCTCCCACAGTTCTCCCAATTCCCTGACCAGTGTACAATTCCCTACCTGCTTACAGTGCCCCCCGTTTCCCGACTCACCAATAATCCTCAGACATCCGTCTGCCTCAAACTGTCCGATGTCGCCCGTGCAGAAGTAGCGCCGGCCGTCAATGGTCAGAAACTCCTCGCGCGTCTTCTCCGGGTTCTTGAAGTATCCCATGGCAACGTTCTCTCCACCAATCAGAATCTCCCCCTGGGGGAAGGGTAAGTTGCTCGTCTTGTAGTTTCCTGTGGGGGGGGCGACGACAGAAACACTTAGGTCTACCTTCTGGTATATGGCAACACACGACAGAAACACTTAGGTCTACCTTCTGGTATTTGGCAACACACGACAGAAACACTTAGGTCTACCTTCTGGTATATGGCTACACACGACAGAAACACTTAGGTCTGCCCTCTGGTATTTGGCAACACACAACAGAAACACTTAGGTCTACCCTCTGGTATATGGCTACACACGACAGAAACACTTAGGTCTACCCTCTGGTATTTGGCAACACACAACAGAAACACTTAGGTCTACCCTCTGGTATATGGCTACACACGACAGAAACCCTTAGGTCTACCCTCTGGTACATGGCTAGATGGCTAGTACAAGGCTACATAGCTAGTACAACAGAAACACTTAGGTATACCCTCTGGTATATGGCTACATGGCTGGTACAAGGCTACATAGCTAGTACGACAGAAACACTTAGGTCTACCCTCTGGTACACGGCTACACATAACAGAAACATTTTGGCCTATCCTCTGGTATATGGCTACATGGCTGGTACACGTCTACACACGACAGAAACACTTAGGTATACCTTCTGGTATATGGCTACATGGCTTGTACATAGCAACATGGCTAGTACATGGCTACTCACGACAGAAACACTTAGGTCTAACTCTCTGGTATATGGCTACACATGACAGGAACACTTAGGTCAACCCTCTGGTATATGGCTACACAGGACAGAAACACTTACGTCTACCTTCTGGTATGTGGCTACACAGGACAGAAATACTTCGGTCTATCTTCTGGTATAGGGCTACATACAACAGAAACATTTAGGTCTACTTTCTGGCATATGACCACAGGGCTAGTACGACAGAAACACTTTCTACCCTCTGGTACATGGCTTGAACATGGCTACACACAACAGAAACTACTCACGACAGAAACACTTAGGTCTAACTCTCTGGTATATGGCTACACATGACAGGAACACTTAGGTCAACCCTCTGGTATATGGCTACACAGGACAGAAACACTTACGTCTACCTTCTGGTATGTGGCTACACAGGACAGAAATACTTCGGTCTATCTTCTGGTATAGGGCTACATACAACAGAAACATTTAGGTCTACTTTCTGGCATATGACCACAGGGCTAGTACGACAGAAACACTTTCTACCCTCTGGTACATGGCTTGAACATGGCTACACACAACAGAAACACTTAGGTCTACCTTCTGGTATATTGCTACATGGCTGGTATATATAGCTAGTACGACAGAAACACTTAGGCCTACCCTCTGGTACATGGTTACATGGCCCAGCTCCTGTCTACATAGCTAGTACAACAGAAACACTTAGGCCTACCTTCTAGTTCATGGCTACATAGCTAGTACGACAGAAACACTTAGGCCTACCTTCTGGTACATGGCTAGTACAACAGAAACATTTAGGTCTACCCTCTGGTTCATGGCTACATAGCTGGTTCATGGCTAGTACAAGCCTACCCTCTGGTATATGGATGCATGGCTAGTACGACAGAAACACTTAGGCCTACCCTCTGGTTCATGGCTACATAGCTGGTACATGGCTAGTACAAGCCTACCCTCTGGTTCAAGGCTACATGGCTGGCACATGGCTACACACACTAGTAAATAGCTACACGACTACATAGCTAGTACATGGTTATACAAATGCATAGCTAGTACACACCAGTACATGGCTACACACACTGGTACATGGCTACATAGCTAGTATATGGCTACACACACCAGTACACAGCTACATAGCTAGTACATGGCTACATAGCTACCTTCGTCCCAGTTGCGTAGACGGATCTCGCTGGAGATGAGAGGGGAGCCAACTCTTTCCACACTCAGGTCAGTGACTGGGGAGGGTACAACCATGGGGGACGGGGGAGAGTTATGCGTGTGAAAATATATACGGTACAAAAAGGGGGGACTAAGTGTCAATGCTGCTGTCTAACAGCCCAACATGACAGGGAAGTGGGGGGGGGAGTATGTGTCAATGCTGCTGTCTAACAGCCCACACACACACAGACACACACACACACAGTTACACACACACGCGCACACCCACACCCAGACACACACTCCCACATACACACACACACACACACCCAGACACACACCCACACACACACACTTACACTCCAGCACCGTGCCCGCCCCACACGTCTCCGTGAGCCCGTAACCTTGACTGACGGGGCAGCAGAAGCAGACGTTCATGAAGCGCTGCGTGGTCGCAGACAGTGGCGCCCCCCCGCACAGCATCAGACGCAGCCGGCCTCCCAAAAGGGCTTTTGTCTTCTTGAACACGATCCTGCAAGTACAGCACATTTCCACATTACTATAACCAGACCTGCCACTCTATGAAATCTAAAAAACAGGATTTTAGAGTTAAAAAATCAGGATCTGGTGAAAAAAATCGGGATCAACGGCAAATCAGTCAGTCATAGGGGGTAGGCCTACTGGGGAAGGGGGATCCTGGTTCCCTTTTATGAGGAAAGTATGCAAGAGAAAATTTGTGCAGGAATAAGTTCACGTTTGGGCCACTAAATAGAGGGAAAACTGAAAGACAGCATTACTCGAGTCGGAGTGGGATAGAGTGGGGGAGCGCAGGTTGCAGTAAAGCTGAAACTCTCGTAGTCTTGAAAATAATTGACTCATAACTCTAATCATCCATGCAAAAAGCCCGCGTTTTCATACAGTAACAACGTTTGACTCACATCGCATTATACACTCAAGGCGCACCCCACGAAAAAAGATCGAGCCAAGGTTGTTCATTTATTTCTTTTTTCTTATTCCTTTATCTTCAATTAGTAGATTCTACATATATCACAGCACGCACTTTAAACCCAAGTGTCTAAGCAATACCCCCACCCGCTCCCCCCCGGTGGTCCACACTGGTTAAGTCCCGAAAAAAAACCCGACCAAGGCGACTGGTGTGAATGAACTTTGCTGACCCCGACAGCCGACGGTCCCCGACACACGCGCTACTCACACGTACGAGGTCATGTCACGTGTTGCGAATGAGCGTTTGAAAGTTCCACTGACAGGTCTTGATGATGGGCCCGACTAACCAGAACTCAAGACGAAGCTTGCTTTTAAACCAATGGCAGAACAATGAATAGATTATTCTTAGGCCCATGACATAATTCAAATTGTTACAGTAATCAGGACACAGTCGGAGAATTCTGGGTTACAAAAGCGAAAGTACATCTTGAGCGTGTCCATGTCGGAATTCAAAATCAATACTATGTCGGTTTTAGTTGAAATAACGTGCGAGAGTCATCTACTATATTCGGCATAGATGCTTCAGAAAATAGCGTTCCAAGTTCCTGCCAATAAAAAATCTAATTGGTGCTTCCAAGCAAAAGAGATTGCACACCATTTTATATTTTTTTCTAAGAATCGGACGCAACTGACGCGATGACAAAAAATCAGGATACTGGTGATCGAAATCGGGAAAATCGGGATGCTTGAGATTTGGCGCAAAAAATCGGGATATCCCGATTAAATCGGGATATCCCGATTAAATCGGGATGAGTGGCAGGTCTGTATAACACATTAATTGTTCTGGTACAACACAGTTCCACATTACTGTAAAACATTCATCCTTCTAGTACAACATTTCTTTTTTTTTTATAGTAGAGGGTTTTACGGTGCTCGCAACTGCATAAGGTCATATGAGCACCAAGGGGCGGATGCCAACAGAGAAGTCTTTACAGGGAATCAGACTAACTCCGCTCACCTCTCTAGCTTCAACAGCACAAGGTCTGCTTCAACTATCAAGGCACCCCGGAAATAGCAGGTCACAACAGAGTGACAATCATACAAAAGAAATAGAGGAAAATGACAATAGTAAGGATTAGGAAAGAAAAACACAACACATTTCCACATTACTGTAAGACATTCACCCTTCTAGTACAACACATTTACACATTACTGTAAGACTTCTAGTACAACACATTTCCACATTACTGTAAGACATTCATCCTTCTAGTACAACACATTTCCACATTACTGTAAGACATTCATCCTTCTAGTACAACACATTTCCACATTACTGTAAGACATTCACCCTTCTAGTACAACACATTTCCACATTACTGTAAGACTTCTAGTACAACACATTTCCACATTACCGTAAGACATTCATCCTTCTAGTACAACACATTTCCATGGTAGACCCATGTGCAGC